TCGATTGTTATGGTGCAAACTAATAACATAATAATTGAAGAAAAATAATCATCTTATAGTACCTATATGTTTAAAAATGAGTCAGGGATGATCATATGAAATTTAAATATGTTTAGTTAATAAGATTTAAATAATATCTTGACGGAGATTTAAATATATGGAATTAAGTGGAAAGCATTGTAATTAAATAGGATTTTATTTAGATCTCCAATAAAAAAAATTAACAATCAATTTCATATTTAAATAATATCTTAATTGATATTTGAATATATTCAACTACATGTTAGTATTATCCAATTATTAATCTAATCAATATACTAATCCATACATTGCATGGGAAAAAATGTCTAATTATATGTATAATGTGTGTGTGCATATAACAGAAACAAACATATAATAGATATCGTCATCGATATCATAATAACATAATACTACTTCCAATCTTTAATATAAAATCTAATTAAGTAATTTTAAAATATTAAAAAATTAGTTAAATTAATTATTTATAATAAATAACTGTTGTCTTGTTAAACTCCCAAAAAAAAAAGTTATGGGTTCCGATTTATGATGGCTTAATTCCAGTTCAGCTTAATTTAATTATGAAATAAATCCAAATTGAACCCTAATAAATACAATTAATAATTCTAGTTTAGCTTAATTTAACTATGAAATAAATCCAAATTGAACCCCTAATAAATACAGGTAATAGTTTAACTTGTCTAATCTTTAAGCCTAAGTCAACTTTTTTTTTTTTGGTGTAAATAAAAATTTAGGTGAATTGGTTTCTATGAATTCCCTAGGGTCAACACGTGCTTATAATTTCAAAAATACACTCTTGTGAGTTATGAGCTAATCTTTTACTAAATAATAGGTGAAAATTTATACACCAGAGAGTCTGCTTAATTGATGTCGGCCGCTTCTTCCTTCCTATTGGAGCTTTTTTTAAAAAAAGGTTTGCACTTTAGGTGGGGGCAGGAATAATTGGACAAAGTTGAGACTTGGGGCTAATAAACTATGTTTGCTCTTTTGAATTTTTCACCCTTCTCTTTCTGTTAGCTTCCATCACCTCAATTCGCGCGCCTTTTCTTTTTTGACATTATGTTATTCCTATGGCTAGTGCAATTTGTTGTCAAATTGTTGTGCTAACACACTTTTGAATTTTCAGCCCTTTTTTGTTTTTGTTTTCATTTTTCCATTTTTATAATCATATTATAATTGTAGAAATACTTCCTCGCACAACGTGCAGCGTTTGAGACGAGTTATAAATAACATTTTGTACAAAAATATTATTTACATGTTATAAATAATATAACTAATAATTAGTTTAAAGATATGGGAAAATGCAGTCAGATAAAAGTCATTAAAACGGTTACTACTGTTTCTTATTTTGGGCCAACAAACTATTTACTACTTATTTATTAAACTTTAGTCCGTTTTGTACGAATAATTGAAAATGAAGAGTGAGGATTATAATTGAGAGAAAATATGTGTTAAAAAAGATATCTAGCATGAGCGATTTCTTATCCCATCGTATTAGGTAATCTCATATAGATAGGATTGACTCATGATATTTCCTAATCTCACATATACAGATTTGTCTAATTCCAAATATCAAATAATTACTCATGCTAATCAGTCTTTTAATATAGTTTTTTTAACTCTCAATCCCCATCCTTAACCTTAATGCTTTGTACCAGCTGCGACCTTTGCTCATATAAAGAGCTGCAATTTTATTTTTCATTGTGCGAGTTAGGTTTCTCAGGACCCAAAAAAGAGAAGTGTCCCTTTCATTGATTGTTGCTAAATTTTTTTGTTTGTTAGCACACCTCAAGATACTGTCAGATACTAAATACAGACATATTTATAAAAAAAACTAGCTTTTTTTTGTTGCTAAATTTAATCCTTATTAGTATTGCTGCTGGATCTTGTTATGACTTAATACGGGTTTTGTAATTACTAAATCATGTAGAGCATCCAAACTGGATTCTCCATTATTATAAAATTACTTCCATTGCAAAGGATTCGTTGATGATTCATCATACTCAAATGTTTGAATTCCCGGGCGAAAAATGTGTTTATATTTAGTGTTCATTGTTCAATTATCCGTGAATGTGATTATCTCCCATGAGAAAACACCAATAATACATCATATTATGCTTAAAAAACCAGGATCTATTAATTAAAAAAAATGTACACAAACACATAAATCTCATTTTATACATATATAGTGGGGTATTATGAGACAAAATAAATCTACTCGGGTTCAAACTTGGTACAACCCAAAGTCATCATTCTCTTTAATTTGCACAATCAAAAAAGTATTCCTAGAGTCTACAAGAAGATGATAAAAATATGGGATTGTATCAAAAATTATGTAAAAAAAACGAGAATATCTTCTGGTGTCAAGGGAATTACACGGAGAAAGATTAAAAAAGAATCCATCTAATTCACCTATGCTTAAAACAAAAACTTCCCCGATTATTATGTAGATATGTGATCAAAATTCGTTCCTTTATTTTTTAAAAAAAGGGGTTCTCCATTATTTGGGTGGCACTTCTGGTAAAAGTAAAAAAATTTTGGTCGACACATTATTATTTGATTTCAGGCCTCTAAATGTGACCGTTGTCCGCAGCACCATCCCACTTCTAAAACATAAAAGCAAAAACGGAAGAACCATCCCATCTCTCACCTGATTCAGAAAGTAAAAGAAAAAAACAGTTAGATGTATTAAATATGTTTGTTTATTAAATCAGTTACATGGGACAGGTGTCACTCTCCTATTATATTACATTGCCTATATATGGGATACAATAGTGTTCAGAAATTAATGGTTAGAGCAATATTATTTTATTTATCCACTCCTTTCTGAGAAAAAACTTAGTTGATTAGATAGAAGGTCTTATGGGTTAAGGAATAGATGACAAAGGAGTACGTAGATAAATAAGATCAATCATCAATCATTAAAATTTATTTATAAAAAATTCGCAATTTAAATATCCAGAAGCATTATAAATTATGTTTTCTTAAAAATGAATTCTCATATCATATCTCATTGGTCAACTTTCCTCAACAGTTTTTTTCCCGTTTTCCCCCCTCGTTTTGGATGGTAAATGGGAGAATTCAGGCCATAACTGGCTATATTTCTATGATAATAAATAAATGGGTCTTTGGGTGGGCCATTCTTGGGCTGCAAACAAAGGAGCCCATTTTTGCCGAAGGCCAGAGACCAGCAGCGAAATTAGGGCTTCGTTTTATTCGAACTGCCCATGGTATAAGACCAGTCATCATCCCGTCGTCTCCCCGGAATCTCTGTATTCCTGAGCTTTCGAGGAAGGGAAACAAATTCACGATTTTTCAGGTTCGCGTTTTCTCTCGCCCCTTTTATCTTCTCCAAAGCATTGATTAGAAGTAAAAGCTTGTCTTTCCGAAGGTCTTGGAAAAGAAAAAAGTTTTCATCTTGTGGAAATTTGAGGGAGCTATTCGTTTTTGGTTGTGTGTAGAGGAGCAAGAGAAAATGATCCAGCGGTGATTAGCATCTGTCGGTGTATATTCTGCTCATAGCATTGGAAAATTGAGAACCTTTAGCGGGGGTGACTGGTTTCGGGATTTTAGGGCTAGGGCGTGGAGGCTTTGAGATAAATTGGTTTGATAGTTTTGTTCTGATCTCGACGATTGATGTTATCTCTTTGTTTCTGAAGGCTACTTGGTGGAATAGTTGCGAAGATGAGGCCGGTTTTTGTTGGGAACTTCGAGTACGATACCCGTCAATCTGAGCTGGAGCGCCTGTTTGCTAAGTATGGGAGGATAGAACGCGTAGACATGAAATCGGGTAAACATTTCTGCTCAATCGTGTATTAGTATCCAAGAGGTCATCAAGCCTGTTATCTCCTTCTTTTGGAAGGAAGTTTCCTGGAGTCTCTTAAATTGCTGATCCCATCCTTTACGGTTTTTTGGGATTATAGGCAGTGTTTGATAAGTTTTAGTGTAGTGAGAACACGTTCCAAAGTACCTATACATTTAGTCAGAAAGATATTTTTGTACATTTATGAGTGATGACACTGCATGTTGCACCCTTTTTTACCCAGTTGATCACGCAATCAGTGATTCTATTTAGATGTAAGAAACACCTTGCGGTTGTAAATTTTAAATTTTCGTCGGCCGTGCACCATCTTTTTCACTCATTCTATATCATTCACGTTGGCGAAACCTAACCTTAAGATTGTCATAATGTAAATGTTTTACATGGTCTCATTCATTATAACCCGAGTTTGATACTTGCGCCCTCAGTTTTCTTAGAAGTTAGAAGAGGAGAGTTAGTACAATTCTATATCACGTATGCTCTTGTAGGGCAATCCTTTATTGAATGCATTTGTTGTGCAATTGGCAGGCGTGTGAGAGCTCAGCTTACTTTGAACCTACCAGCCTGAGCTCTCCTTTCTGCCACTATTAGTTTCAGATCACTGGTGGAAGGCCTGTCATGAGGTGTTTGTCTGATATCTGTTATATGGCATTTTAAATATAATGAAGTGCAAACCCCCCCCCCCCCAAAAAAAAATTTAGATCCTTTTTTTTTTATAGATCCATAATTTACAATCCAGATTATTCATAACCTTTAGCATCTATTTTAGGATTGTGTGGCATTCTGGATGATATCCCGAATTTATATGGGGTCTTTCAGCCAGCGTCAGCATCACTTAGGGCTTGTAATTTTTTTTTAAATATATTAGATTGAGTATGGAGTGAGTATGTCACTTCTAATTTTTTAAAGTAAGTTCTGTTGATAAAAAATTCTATGAAAATACCTTTATCTTAATCAGAATGTCTTAAGCAGATTCTGAGAACTAAGATATTGAAACCAGGATATTTGGATATGGATGTAGGGCTGCATTTATGGGTTGTATGTTCCATTCCTAAATCCTAGTGGAAAATATGTGGCAGCCACAAAAAAATTGCAATTCTTTGGGGAAATCCTCCATATTTAAGTGTTTCTTTTGACGCAGGAACCTCTACTAAGGGAAAATATGCTGAGCTCTTTCTTGGCTTGCCAACTTCTCTGCCAAACTTTTTTTGGAAGGAAACTTCCTGCCTGTCTGCTCTCCCTCTCTCAGATAGCATCATCTGCACTTTCTCACCTGATCATCAGTCACTCACTCACCTCATCGCTTTACATTGCCATTTTACCAGATTGATCATAGTGGGATCATCGTTCAATTTATTAAGCCATGCCTACATTGACTCAAAATAGGGGATCAATGAAACACTGTTATGCAATGCCATGCCTACATCTACTGAAAATAGGGGATCAATGAAATCTATCATGCCATGCAATGCCTTATCTTACTGAATTCACTCGTGCTGTCTGAATGGAGAAGCATGCTTTGCAATGACAATCCCAGATCTGAATTTTGGATTTAAATCTTTTATTGCAATCATGATTTTGTTCCTCATTGAACGCCTCTACCGCTTCATGTGCATCAGCCCTCCCGTATATGCAGGTGTTGTATTCAGTTGTTCCTGACAGGGAAAATAAAATCCTGATTTGGCTGATGTACTGCTTGGTGAGGGATGATATGCTAATGCCTTCCATCATCACTTGTGGCTCTAATATCAGTGCTGTTATTGCAGGTTTTGCATTTGTTTATTATGAGGATGAGCGTGATGCTGAAGATGCAATTCGTGCATTAGACAATTTTCCTTTTGGTTATGACAAGCGAAGGCTGTCTGTAGAGTGGGCTAGAGTATGATAATATTCTTATGAAAAATTCTTGTTTTCCATATTCTTTTTATTGGCAGGTGAAATAAATTCCTGCCCAAATATTATTTAATACTTACTAGCTGTTTTGGTACTTGCAGGGTGAACGTGGTCGTCATCGAGATGGGTCCAGAGCAAACCAGAGGCCCACCAAAACATTATTTGTGATTAACTTTGACCCAATCCGCACTAGAGTTCGTGATATAGAAAGGCACTTCGAACCATATGGGAAAGTTCTTCATGTTAGGATTCGCAGGAATTTTGCTTTTGTGCAGTTTGAATCACAAGAAGATGCTACTAAAGCTCTTGAGTGTACACATATGAGGTCAGTGATTAGGCTAAGATATTTCTCGGTGAGTTTCTTTCTTGTTGGTTTCCTGTTCATGGCACGGGGAATAAAATTTCTAGTCTCGTTCTCGCAGCAAGATACTGGATAGGGTGGTTTCAGTGGAGTATGCTCTGAGGGATGACGATGAGAGGGGTGACAGATATTATGACAGCCCCAGAAGAGGGGGATATGGAAGATCACCCAGTCCAGTTGTTCGTAGGCGACCTAGTCCTGATTATGGTCGTCCACGCAGCCCTGTGTATGATAGGTACAATGGACCAGCATACGATAGACGTAGGAGTCCCGATTATGGGAGGCCAAGGAGTCCCGATTATGGGAGGCCAAGGAGTCCTGAATATGGCAGATACCGCAGGTATTGTTTTTGCAGTCGATTTGAAATCGATCTTCTTGCAATTTGGTTGTTCTGTATTTCCATCTCGAACTAATTTGTTCTGCAATTCATCTACAGCCGCTCACCAATCCGAAGGTCCCGCACCTGAAAGATGTCTGATGATGTGGAATGAAGCAGGTTCCGGTGGTTCTTCTTAGTCACTGTGTTGGAATAGAAAGTAGTGCGATCTGTAGGGAAGCGAACCCCTCGCGGTACAATTTATGGTTTGCTTTTTGTATCTAAAAATTAAGAATTTGGGGCTGATTGTGCTTTTAGGACTCGATATATAGCTTGTTCAAAAGTAGGGTTGGTTAGTAGATATTACGACTGTGACGTGTTCTGCAATGATTCATGGCTTTCCATTTTTGTGGCGGAGCACAAGTCTTGAATGGTAAACATGGAAGGGGTCGCTGCCGGCAAACATTTATGAGCGTAATTTTAATTTTAATCCATTCATAATAGCGTAGGCCTACCATGTATATTTACACTTCAACTTGTATAGCGCGATGTTAACCGTATTATCATAAAGGTCCAATAAGAAACATGTTATCAGGCAATCATCATTCATCCCTCGCCCCCCAAAATACATTGTGATACGAGAGTAAAATCTAAAATATTCAATGTGCGAAAAAACGGACAGAAATTATGGTGGGGTTAATATAATCTCTAGTTTTTTAAGTTTAACTTCTACTACCTCTGATCTTTAATATAAGATCCTGTTTGATTTTTATTTTGGTTCGAAATATAAAATTTCAATTCATTTTGTCTCTTATATTTATATATATATATTTTTTCAAAATAGTCTTTCTAATAATAATAGTTTTAGTTAATATACTTGATTAGTAAGGATATTTTAGGAAAGGTAACATCTATTTAAGACAAATAACTAACTCAACTTACTTCTTTAATCTTCTCAAATTAGTTAACTGGTTCTTATAATTAGGATCGGAGGTAGTAGTTCTTTAAATTTTAGATCATAGGTTTAAGTTTTTTTAAGAGGTGAAATAATTTAAGTTTTTATTAAATTATAAAAACTAATATTATGAATGAAAAGAAATTTGAAGGATGAAAAATGAGAATTTTTACAAAAAAATAAAATAAAATTGAGAAACTAAAAATTATATTAATACATTAAGGAAAAGAAATAAAAGTTGTGCGCATATGCTTTCTAATGTTGAATATAACTCTAAGCAATCGTGAGCCTTGTGAAGAATTGAAGACTCATTCCCCTGAACTTGCAAAACTCATTCTCATATGGCTTCCCATCTCCGTCAGTATTGCCTTCTCTGTTTGGTTCCTCCATGGCCAGAAGAGTTGAATTCTCAGGCTTTCACCGCTTATGAAATCCACAAAAAAAAAAATCCATCGATAGCATCGCTCTACTGGTCTATAAGGAAAATCCCATAGGAGGCGTTCTCAGTTTTTCATAAAAGATGCAGGGAAAGTTACTGGCTTTCTCGGTCAAGTCTAGACCAAGTAATTTTTTTTGACTCATCTTAACTTTGGACTTGAAATCTTTTTTAGTTTGATGCGTCTATTTTATCAATTTTGTTTTAGTTTAGAAGGATAAACATTTTTTTAAAAAAATTTCCTTGTGCTATTAATTTTTAGTTCGTTTGCTGGCTCCATAGACACTCACCTGATAGAGCGATGGTTTCTTGGAAGTTGCCTTTGGCAGGGAAGAAAGCATATATTCGAGGCACGCGTAATCTTCTTGGATAGGCTTTCATGAATCTTCCTCTTCTTTTCCACACTGATGCATGATATTTTTTTCCCAACCAAACCAGACAAAATTAGGTTCTTCCTATAAGTCATTAAATGAACATTCATGAACAATTTTATTATAATCTTTCACAGGATTCATATTTAAATTTTGCTTTGTGATCATCTGAAAAATACTCAAACTAACAGAACATGCCCGGAAAACAGATTCCAGAAAATATCTAATGATCTCATAACATACTGTATAAACTGAAGAGGTGTCAAATTTTTAATGACGCTATGTAATCCATGTAATTGACCCCACTTAATGGAACAAGACGTATTGTTTTTGTTGTATATTCAAAAAGAACTTGATCCTTCAAATTCATGACATTCTCAATCTCTTGTAGAATTGTCTGACATGAACTCTTGCTGATTTGTGAAGAACTTCAACAGATTCATATACATAGACCATATTGGAGTTAACACAACCTAAATCTCATTTATTCATATGTTACATGCTTCTGAAACAAATGAATGATGTCATGATTTTGCAGCAGACCAATATACCTCCGCCAGTTCCCAGCTTTCTGACAATGAAATAAATGACCTTCACCAATTTTGCTCCAAAGAACCTAAGTACAACATGAAAAAAAAATTACCATTTTAATTGTTTTATGAAGAGCTTTTTTTGCCCTTCAGTTTTGACTCTGCAACTTCTGCAGAAAATTCACAAGGATCTAATTAGTGGTGATGGTGATCTTGAACTTTTCTAGAATGAATTTTCCCTCTTTATATTTCTGGGATTCCTCATAAGCTCTGATGTATTTCCATCCTAATGCTTCTCCACAATCAGAGCAATAAACATCAGAAACTGTGTGAAGACCAGTCATGAGCTGCCTATCCTCCTTGGCACTTTCATTAATGTTAATAGCATGAGAAAACAGAAAAGCCCTCCCACTGCTTGCCTGTCAAACATAAACCGGATCCTTTTTTGTTGAAAATCCATAAAAACAAATCAAATTTGAAACTTCGATGCAGTTTTTTCCCCAAATCAGTTCATATCAGCAAAAAACCAGAACTTTAAACTTTGTGATCACATTTTTGTGCCAAAATATGAGTTCATTTAGTCTGAAAACCGCATAAAACTTGCATCTAAATTCTATGGTTTTGGCATGGGAGTCAAATCTGGTATGATAAATATAAAATTTTGCAACTAGCCGGTAGCTAGAGATGTGAGTCTAGGCCGATGGAATTGATCAGAATGGTTTGAGAGTCAAATTGGAACCTCATCCCTCAGAAATTGGCTAGCAAGTTTGAGACGTTTCATTCTAAGAAGCTAGAACAAGTGATGAAGAAAGTAATCAAAAGAAAAAAGATATAGTAATAATAATAGTAATAAATCTGACCCGAAAATCTTTTGAAATAATATCATGATGGAAAGCAATATGGTTCTGGCACTTAAAGCAGCAGTATGATCCCCTCCAAGATGCCATTGATGAATTTCTCTTCAAGTCTGGTTCTACCGCTGTGCTTATAAGCAAGAATATGGATAATATATTGATTTGAGATCGTATTAAAAAATAGAATATGGATAATATATTGATTTGAGATCGTATTAAAAAATTATTTTTGTGACCCAATCAGATTAAGGGTGTGGCTGGTGAAAGGTGTGTATGACTCTGTTTTTTTTGGCTGAAGTGGATAGCAGGGTCAAGTGTAGATTCTTATGAAAATAATATGTTAATTAAATCAGTTTTAAACGGATAAGCAAGCATGTTAAAAGTAAATAAAATTAAAAACATGATTTTGTTATGATTAATTTTTGTATTGTTCAAAAAATCAAGAAAGTAATTGAGGTTAAAGTCAATTTAAGGGATGTTTGGATGCAAATAAAACCATAGTTTTAAAATTGCTTTTACGGTGTACGAAATAAATATGTGGAGGAGTTTGACTCGATTTAAAAAAAATATTTTTGAAATTCTACTTAGATTGGTTAATAATGTTGCATATTTTTGTGATTAATGATATGGAAATATTTTGTTAAACTGTTTCGACTATAATTTTATAATTTATTAAGGTTAGATTCAAATAAAATAAAATCATAAAAGTATAACTCATTCTTTTTTAATATGGTGAAATAATTTTTTAACGATAAAATTCACTATGTTTCTCCTTGTGACTTGCTTGAGATCAATTATAATCTAAATGTTTTTATATTGTATGAAAAAAATTATAAAATTCGAAAGCTTGAGATAATGTAAAATATAAAAGCAAGTCATACCATGCTTATAAATGATTTTCATTATTAATAATGAATGACATGACTTGTTAAAGTATATTTATTCATTGATTTTTGTTTTTAAAGATAGAGTTAAAGTTGGTTTCAAGTATTATATTTGTGCATTATATTAGCCCATTGTCGAGACATTCAACTAATGACATAAGCGCATCACTTTCTTTCTTTATTTGTATCCCCCCCCCCCCCCCAAAAAAAAATGTAGAAGGACGCGTCACTAAATTCGTCATAGGAAAAGGCATGCCAAATGTTATTAAAAATTCCTTCTTTTTTTTAATGCCCATTGCTGAAATTTTCATGTAAATTTTATGAATGGATAATTTTATTTCCTAATTTATTGTTTGTATATTTTTTTAAACAAATATATATTAAATAAGAATAGAATTAAAAGTTATTAAATTTTAATTTTTTTGTTAAAAAATTATTATTAATATAGAAATTAGATATTTTTTTTTCTTTTTCTTAAACTAACATTTTTAATAAAAAATGTATTGAAACTATTTTTTGATTGGAAGTTTTCTTAATATCAAAAGGAGCATTAGAAATTTAAGATACAAAATGTATTAAACTCTTATGTATTATTATGGTTATTATTATTATAATCACGTGTGTATGTGAAATAGGTGACGGGATCGTTCCGATGAATGGGTAGCCCCAGTCTCTGGTGCATGTGACGGCGGCGACGCTGGATCGGGGCAGCGGGGAAGGCACGAAGTCCTTTATATCTGTCGGCCAACTCATTTTCTCACACCAAGGCTTCGGTGCAGGTCACTGCTTCGGGGTAAGAAAAGTTTTCTTGCCTCAAAAATCATCTTCTGCCTCTGCTTGTGCATTATTCTGATTAGCAATCTATTTATCGATGCGCTAGCAATTTCCCTCTCTTGCTTTTTTCGTTGTCATGACTATTATTCTAATTTTTAATTGATAAAACCGTTGCAGTGGGAGTGTTTCTGGCTTTCTGCAAGAGGCTTACACAGAAGATGGAGTTTTGTCCGACTTGTGGCACCCTGTTGCAATACGAATTGCCCTATATGGGTCGCCCTTCAAGATTCTTTTGTCCTACTTGCCCATATGTTTGCTACATGGAGAATAAGGTATAGGTTCAAGAGCTATGTCCCCGAGGAAAATTTTCCCTTTTTATCCTCTTTTTGTTTTGTTTTTTATAGTGCAGTGTTGTGTGTGCGTGTGTGTGTGTTCATTTTCTCGCTTCATCTCTGTACTTTGCAGGTAAAGATAAAGAGAAAGCAGCGTTTAGTCAGAAAAGAAATAGAACCTGTTATCTCCCAAGATGACATGAAGAATGCACCCACAGCTGAAGGTACACATATTCCCACTTCATCTTGTCCCCCTACTGCTAGGAATTACTTTTCCTTCAGCTCTTTTTTGCTTTGGTTAGTTGGATAATCATTAGTTTCTGCTGATGATTTTTTTCGATAAATGTTTGTTTGTAGTCATACCAGTTTGCTGATCAGTGCAAGCTATACTGCTTTTAATTCCCCTTTTTGGGATGAAACTCTTCTATCTTATTCTGACGCCAATTGTACAAGGAAAAAGCTTTAATGCTGATGTTTATATTATCGCTATCAGTTTCTCCAGTTAAAACGTGATAAGTTTGTGATCTTTCTAATATCAATATGACAAGTTTATAATATGTTACTATTAAAAAAAAGCATGCACTTTTTATATTTTAAATTGAATGCTTGAAAGTAAAGATATAAGAAACTTCATCTAAATCTAATGCTTTATATATTTGATCTTTGGAGATATATACATTGTGGGAATTTACTCTTGATGGACCTTCTTGTGGGGTGAGTCCAGTGCCTTGTCTGATACCATGACTTAAGAGGTCCTTTAGATGTGAACTTTATAGCCTTGATGCTTCTCTTAATTGAACTTATATGTAAAATACTTCTGAGAACTACGCTTTTCATACTGAAGCATGAACAGAAGTGATCGGAAATAATTCTTTGATTCCTTAAGTCAACTTGACGTGCGGATTATGTTCAGTTGTGTTAGTATGAATCCATTGCTAATAACTTTCAGTGGATTTTTCTTGCCACGTTCATCAGAAGTGATCCTACGTTTATTCTGAATCCTCTTCCTAAGTATTTTGCCTTCTGAAAAGCTGCGTGTGTGTGTGATAAGGCTCAAACAAAAAATATTGTTCAATGGTGTTCTAATCACCCCATTTACATTTATGTGGTTGGTTTCCTGGATTAATGTAGACCAACAAGAACAGGAAGTGGAGGTAAACAAATCAAAGTTGCGGATTAGACCATAATATATTATATTGTTTAAATTTGAAATTGTTTTTGAAGGGTGTCCTGTTGTTGAAAACTGAATAGATGTGAGAGGAGTTGCAATGATTGATTTCACCGATCATTTTGGACAAACTAAGAGGGTGTAAATTATTGTTTTTATTCACCCTGATTTTTCAATTGAGTGTTTCTAAGAGGTGATGCTATGAATTCTAGGTTCTTCTCCCCCCCCCCCCCCAAAAAAAAAAAATCTTCATGTTCTTTTCTCACTACTACCCTTTTTTGGCAGTCCCATGTCCAAAGTGCAATCATGACAAAGCTGCTTACACAGAATTTCAGACTCGATCAGCTGATGAGCCAGCAACCATATTCTACATGTGTTTGAATGGGAAGTGCAGAAACCAATGGCGTGATGGCTGATTCTTACCATTCTTACTCATCGATGAGAATTTTTACTATTCTTTTGTTTTTCTATCCTATGTTGCACATTTGAATATTCATTCCTTGCGATTAGTATAATCTATTCCTTAGACATACGAGCCTTTCTTGACCTGTATTATTCTCAGCAGTTTCTCAGTTGCAGCATATGTAGAAATCATAAACCTCACAGACAAGGACATCGATGGGATTGATTCGATTCGGCCATGGACAAAACCAAATCGAATTATTAAATTGGTTTTGCAAAAAGAAAGACTTGTTCATTTTGGCTAAATGAATTTTGGATGGTTTGGTTGGATTTAGTTTACTTTATGCTTTTCTAATGTGAAAAAGAGAGGAAGTTAATTTTCATTTTTTAAAAAAAAATTTTATTTGGTACGTATGTATTTGATTGAGTTCCAATCAGTTCATCAATTTGGTTCTGTTTCAAGTATTTCTATAACAAAAAGGTAATCTAATCCTCTCTACTAGTAGGTGATTTCTGTTTCTCACCAATACTCCCTTTGCACATTTAGGGAAACCTACAACAAGAAGTCTCAAGTTGTTAGTATAGTTTTCCTGCTCATAGAGAGAGGAGGTCAATGTGATAAGTGATGGAAGGAGTGAGGAGAAAGATGAGATATGAGGAAAGTGAGACTTGAAGCAAGTTTCTGATACCAAATGAATTCCCTTGGATAATTGCATTGCATTACAATGTCGACAGAGAGCTAAAAGAATGTACATGCATTTTTAACTAATAACGAATCATCTCCAAGGTTCAGAATATAGAGACAAATTGCAAACATAGTCCTGTACGTACAACTCATAAGAAAATTTCTCCAAAGTTAGGAAATAATTTTAAACTTCGGAGAACAAGGATACCAGCTCAAAGAAAGAAAGAAAGAAAGAAAAAAGAGCCACATCAAACTGGAGTTAGATCCCTTAAATTAATTGAAAGAATTGTGTGAGAAGAAAGAAGAGAATGTGGGTGGGACCCCTATGGAGATAGTTATCATCCCTGTCTCTTGTTTCTTTCACTTCATCCTTGATTAATTGACAGAATCCAAATCCAAGCAACATTCGATATGCAGAGTTCAGCAAATACAACGAACTTCATAACAACAAAATAGCCTCAGCAAGGGACATAAAACGGGTTCATCAACCACTGCAGGATCAATGAACAGCCAATTTTTTCTTAGCCATCCATCTCTTTCTGATGAGATCCAAATGCACCAACTTCCTTCTAGAGAGTTCTTGTAACTGTTCACGATAGAAAGCCTCAATTGCATCAATTTCCAACTTTAGCTCAGAATCTGCATTCTCCTCTGCTAAAGACAAAGAAGAACAGCTGCTTGTCAAGCTAAAAGCATTGCATGTTCCATTAAATGGTGGAATCGTTTCATTCTTCGTAAAGTTGTTTATCACAATGCCTTCCCCCACACCGTTATCTGTTGTTCTCTGCAATTTGCAAGCGTCAAGATATGTATCCCCAAGATCCAGTTCAGAGATAGACCAGCTCAAGGATCTAGAGCTCCCATTGAAATCGAGAAACTTGTCAATTTTTGTAGCTGAATCTTTAGCAACTAGCCCAGAGGTTGTGAATCCTTGGGAATATTGATATTCCAAGTCAGCCAAAGTGGGAGAAGAATTACACTCACCATGCAGAGTAGCATTAATTAAAGTGCCACCCAGCAAGCAGCCTTCCTCAAGTGTAACCTCACCTTTTTGATCACCAGTAATCGGCCCTAACACATCATCTTGGTAAATAATTAGTCCAGCAGAATCAATGGTTAGGATGGAATCCCATAGACTTGTTTGAGTCTGGACATCTACCAGTGTTGAGGATCCGCCATTGAGGCTTATTCCTTCACTTGAGGAATAATCAGATGAAGGTTTCCAGCCAGGTAGAAGTTTTGTCATCAAATGATCAATAAGCTCTGCAATGAAGGTCACATCATGTTCTGCTAACTCCAGTTGTTCAACCATCTCTGAGGCCACTGATACTGCAGTGTCTGAATCAAGATAAAAGAGAAAATGTATATTCCTAACTCGACCTGCAAGTATAAGAATGTCATGTCATTGGCATATAGATGATGAAAAATGTAGCATAACCTTAACACTAGTTTCATGCATTGTTCAATCCCCCCTCAGCCCCATAGATAGATAGATTTTTTTTTTTTTTGGAGGGGTAGGGACCATATACTAACCAGAGGAATCCGCAATACGTAAGGTCAGTGATACTGATCTGTCATCATTTTTTGTCCCTCTCAACCTAAATTCATTCTCCTTAGATGTCCTCTGGAATTCTAGAACTGGAGACTGAGGACTCCCACAGTTGCTTTCAGTACAGGTACTCATAGAAATCTGTTTATAGTCAGCATCTATGTCCATAGATAAAGGACCAGATCTGGACCAATCTATAGATCTTGGAGTTTGAGGAGGCAACTGTAAGGGATCTCGGGCTGGATTCTTTGGATTCTCAACTTGCAGAAATGGGTCTTTGAGAAGCTCCTCTGCAGACAATCTCTGAGATGCTGGAACCAAGCATTTTTCAATAAACCCTCTAATTTGGGGTTCATTCACCTTCTTAAGAGAAGCTGGCTTGATACCCTGCAGTAAGGCATCAGAACGGTGGATGTTAAAGAAGTGGTTCAAATAGTAAGCATCTAAATGTAATCAATAGCATAAGGCATTACTGGTGTTTAATATACTCACAGAGGTAACTTTCTTATAGATTTGAGCTGGATTTTTGCATTCACTATAGGGATACTCAAAAGTAACCATCTCCAATATGCACATCCCAAAAGAATAGATGTCAACAAGCTCATTGTATTCCTCTTCATAAAGCTCAGGAGCCATAAATTCAGGAGTCCCTTAATAATTAAAAGTACAGAACAACAGATTGAGTGCAACTAGAAGATTTAGTATGATGAAAATCTCACATTTAAAGAGAGTAATATCATACCAATGACACTTCGAGCAACTGGTTGCTGCATCACAGTTGCCAACCCTAGGTCTCCTATCTTAATTTCTCCATGGTTTCCATTCACAAAGATGTTGTCACATTTCAGGTCTCTGTGAATAATAGGAGGCTTTTGACTATGGATGTAGGCTAAACCGTGGAGAATCTGCCTAGCCCAACCTTTGATGGCCTTCATGTCAACATTTTTATGCTTCCTACGGTATCTGTTTGCCAAAATGTGTAATATTATTCCAGATGCAAAAATAACAGCAGAACAACCTAGAGGGAAGGAAGAAAATCTGCCACAACAACATACTGTCTTAAAGTTCCAGACGTGAATAGCTCAGTGATCATGTTAACAGTTTTGTTTTTATCATCAACCCAAGAATGATAGAACTTCATAATATTTTCATGTTTCAAAGACTTCAGTATGTGAACTTCAGAGTACAGTTTTGCTAGATCTACTTCTGACTGCAAAAGGTCATCAATCCTAACTTGGTTCCATGCAACTTCGATTCCATCGACTTCATCAAAGGCCCTATAACTGCCAGTGAGAGAGCAAAATAGATTAACATAAAGCAACAATAGTAATTCAACAATAATAAGAGATAAAGTATCAGAATCATACACAGTTTTGAAAGCACCCTTGCCTAAGATTTCATTGTACTGTGAAAAAGAAAAAGAGAAAAATTAAAATAAAATAATAGATAAAGACTAGGCAAATTATAGAACTACAAAAATTCCCTGCAATGGAGTGAGAAAATTGTCATCAACCGCAGCTTTGCTTGAGGCAAAGGCATTACTTGAAGCCACTTCATCAAGGTTTATCTATACATTTTGAATACTGGACGCAACCTTCAATTTGAAATTTCATTGGGGCTGACACACTCAATAAAATGTGTAGCTCATAAAGGTACCAATTGAACATAATTGATAATTTATCTTTCAAGTTTAAACAAGAAAACATTTAATTAAATCTTACTTTCAGCAAAATAATGCCAAGCCCTATATTAGCTGCCCTAATTTTAGAATGATGGAAAATATGCATTCAGGCGTATCATATGGATAACGCAGTTATTTAAACCAAGCTCAGCTTATTTCCCTTGCAAGATCTCTGTCGGAATGCTAGCTTGGGTGAACATGCTAACAAATCAAGTATAGAAAACTTCCCTCTCGTAGTAATCCAGACAATTATCATAGATATGTGTCGACCCCTATAGCTCAAGTTACTCATATTTACCATAATGTTCAGTTATTGTTCCAAGGCATCAATATTTTAAAGACGTAGTCGTGTTGTGTCCGACGAAGCGCCATCCAAAATTCCTAAAAGCCTTGGGGCTTTTTTTTGGGGTAACATAAAGCTGTTGTTTTTTTATCCATTTCCTTGCTTCCTAGACTCAAACAAAACATAATCATCACCCACAATTGAATCTTATCAAGCACTTACCAGGAACATCCCCAAAAGTTATAGCACCGAAGAGCAAAATTGAATTGCAAAACAGATAATGGAGAATATTCATAGCCTTCATACCCGTATATATCGACCAGTTGGGTCTTTCTCTGCAAAATCCTCCTCGAACTGAGCAGGCTCCTTTGTCCCTGTTCCATCGTTTTCTGGCGATTCAACCCCAGAATCCATTCTGCTCTCAGAACTCAATTGCAAGAAGATCTCTTTACTTTTGTTCTTTTATTGTTATTTTTGTTCGAATCGATCACAAACGTCGCCGATCAACCCCAATCCGAACGAAAGAACAACGACCCCCGAAGAAATCTGGGGAGATGATGCTAGAGAAATCGAATGCCGAAGGGATCGACATTCGAACAGAATGGTAGGAGGCAGTGAACCTGAATCCAAAACCCTACCATCCATATCATAGCAAAAACTCATCCTCAAACAAAACCCAACACTACCTTCCTATCGAAATCCATATTCAACATCACCAGCTCCACGTCCCAGGGAAACCTCGCACAAAGAATAGAACTTTACCTAGGGGGTTTCGATTACAACATCTCTAAGGGAAAAGGAAAAAGTTAAAAGAAAAAAAAAAAAGAAAGCTTTTGGTAGGAAAGTGTGATGATGGGGTGAAAGAAAGAGAGAGAAAGAAGAAGGTGAGAAGGAGAGAAATCGGAACTGATTCTAGGTAGGATGCGAGAGAGCAGGACGAAACAAACACTTGTACGGTCATGCTGGAAGAAGCTTCCTGGAGAATCCAAATATTTGTAGCCTTCGGTGTGGCAAGAAGAAAACGTTGGTTCTGACCGTTGAGGTCATGTCCTCCTTCGGAAATCCGGAACTGACAAATAACAGTTCAAATAGAACAAGTTGAAAAAAGTTCGGTGCAATATTTGGCCAAGAAAAAGCGGGGAAAATGTTCAAAACCTTGATACTCCTCCGGTCCTTATTATAAGATCCCATTTAATTTTTTATTTGGTCCTAATTATAAGACCCCAATCCATTTTGTCTCTTATATTTATGCATTTTTTCCAAGATAATCCTTCTAATAATGATAGTTTTAGCCAATATACTTAATTAGCAAGGATATTTTAGGAATGACAACACTTATTTATTATAAATAACCAACTTAACTTACTTCCTTAATCTCCTCAAATAAGTCAATTGGGTCTTATAATTAGGACCGGAGGAGTAATATATTTTGGGTAAAATGTTAATAACCTCAATAATGTTATATACTCCAGTCTGTCCTTTAGTAATTACTCCTCTTGTAATTAATATAAGACTTATTTAACTAATTTGATTAGATTAAAAAAGTTAGGTAAGTTAGTTAATTATAAGAAATGTGATATATTTTTCCTAAAATACCACAACCATCTTTCTTAATACCTCATCTTCCTCCTTTACTTAATTATGGCTGAAGAAGCATATATAGGGGTAATTTAGAGAAAATTGATAAATATGAGAAATGGGTCTTATATTTAGGACCAAGATCAACTCAATAATTAGATCCTATATTAAAGACCAGAGGAGCAGTTTACTTTCTTTTATATAATTTTAAAGGGAAAACCATATTGAAGGTACCTATACTTTCTCTCAATTTTTAATTTGGTACCTATATGTTTTTTTCCTTTAATTAAACATTTAATTTTATATTTTTAGCAACATTAACTCTTATAACTTTGTTCTATTGATATTTTTAGTCTCTACATAAGGATTAATGATGTTAATAGAGGAAAAATAAAGATTTAGTTAAGAACAAAAAACACATAGGTACCAAATTGAAAATTAAAAAAAAGTATAAATACCTCCAATATGGTTTTCTCTAATTTTAATGAGTAGTAAGTTTCATTACCACCGAAGCAGAGTTTTAGAATCACATTTCATGATTATGCCTTATAATAAAAATATCTAGACCATGTTGTCATAACCAGGAGCAAAATTGCAGCTCCTACCTTATTATTTTTTTTTCCTAATAACATCCAACAGTGCAAATCGTCCACAATTTTTTCCCTTTTATAATTACACTCTGACTTGTTTGTATATGTACTTTTATTTAACTAATACTTTGATATAAGTCAAAACAAAATTTCTTTCATATTCATACTTCATATTCTATAAATCACAATCACTTTTAAAGATTCTAATCGTTATTCCAAACAAGCTCTCCATCTATCAATTTTATCTAAAGATAGGATGAGCATGGTCTCAAACAAACTTTGTAATAATTGCCTTATTTCATACATTATTGCACTTTTTTTTTAATTGAGTCTAGGATATCTACCACTGATAGTAGTGACTAATTCTCTTGTATCATATACTTCTCAAAAAAGCTTTAGTACTTGCCATGATAGATTATTACACTTTTTGATACTAAGGCTATCTTTTATATTAAAGGGGGCCAATAACTTTGATGCTTTTAGGAATGATTTAAATTTATGCTCAACCTACATAAGAAAATATAATAATAGCAACTTAATTAGTTAGTATCTTTCTGTAAAAGAATATGTCTAATTGTTCCACTAATATATTCTGTAAGTAATTTTTTCAAATAGAAATCTGGCACTTCCTTGCCAGCCACTCAAAAATTTGTTGTGTGGGTATATTTTAACTGTTAGCCAGAAAGAGATCATAAATTGAGGAATGAAAGAAATTAGAAGGGAGAATGGAGAAGATTAATGGGTAGGGATGAAAATGCAAAATGTATTAAACATAGCGTCGACCGCACATGTATACAGAAACGAAGGACTTGAGGAAGCGAGGATGCGACTTGGGGGGAGGTGTTGTAAACAACTTTAAATATATAATGTATTTCTTGCCATCGTTTCAACTCGGTGTCGTGGTGTAGTTGGTTATCACGTCAGTCTAACACACTGAAGGTCTCCGGTTCGAGTCCGGGCGACGCCATCCTTTTTATCATTTTGGCCCGCTTCATCCGGGAACCCACACGCAGATTGCAGATAGGCTGGCAGTTATTCATTGCGAAAATAAAAAGTTCTAACATGTGACAGTCATAGAACAGGAAAACGAGAATCGTTGGTTAATGGTGTTATTGGTCCCCTTCTCTTTCTTTCAGGTCTTACTCTTATTGTTCCTACTGGTTTTGCTTCGCTCTCTGCCGATCCCGTAGGGGAAAAACAAAACCTTTCCTAAATCTCCCAACGCTTTCTCGAGGAACTTCGATATGGAGACGAGTAGAGGCACCAGATCTACGACGACCAAGCAGAAGGCTGACTTGGTATCAGTTCTTAGGAAATCATGGTACCATTTAAGGTTGTCCGTCAGAGACCCATCCAGGGTTCCGACCTGGGATGCCATTGTGCTCACCGCGGCTAGTCCCGAGCAAGCCGAGCTGTACAATTGGCAGCTCAACTGGGCAAAGCGGATGGGTCGGATTGCGGAGTCCACAATCACTCTCGCGGTGCCTGACCCGGATGGGCGGCGGATAGGGTCTGGAGCCGCGACCCTTAATGCCATTTATGCCCTCCTCAAGCATTACCAGAACCTTGGGGGGGATCTTAGCACAGAGGTAGAGAAACTAAAGATTCGTGCTATTCTTATAGTTTGGAACTATTGAAATAGTATTATGGCACACTTCACCTATTCAATGGTTGAAGAACAAACTAATCATCTGCCCGGAAATTCGTTTTGTGGAGGTGAAATGGCAAAGGACTAGACTTAGGTAAATTCCTTCAGTAAATTTTGCAATCAGATTCTCTAAACAAACGGCATATGGATATGGAACATGTTTAAGACGCCAAACTGAATTTTTAATGTGGTGCGGATTGTGACAACCTAATACCAAACACCTAAAAACTTTATTAAAGCACCTATTTTATAATGGCATTGGGAGATGTTAATGAATCACTTTCTGAATTGTTGGCCTATTGAGCAGCTAATTGTATTCCATTGCTTTGCCAGTTGAATTGAATGTTTTGAATATTTTATTTCCAAATTAAGTGGTTCAATAGGTAGTTTTCTGATGCATTGATGCCACTCACGTTCGGCTTGAATCTGATCAGACATGGGACTGATAGTATCAAGATATAAGCAAAATTTATCATATTTATCAAACTTAATTTAATCCATTGGTCAGACTCAAGCTTGATGGCTTTGCATCATTCAGCAGTCAGGGAACTTGGCCTTGTCGCTGATTAAAGAACCTTGTGGCCGTAAAACTGTTAAGGAGAATCCCACATGTGGCTCTAACATGATCTGCCTGCACGTAGCAATTGTTTATGTCAACCTGCTTGGTATTCTGTTCACATTTTCTTTGCTCCAGAGTCACATGCTATGTATTGTGTGCTCTTAAGCATCTAATTCTCGATTGTGAGGTTTGATGAGTGATCTATGATTAACAGGTGTCAAATATGAATAATAATGATGCTGGATCTGTTGAGCTGCATGGGAATTCTCTTAAGCAAATAGCCAATTTCATAGCCAAAAGGCACGTACTATTGCTTCATGCTGGAGGTGATTCTAAAAGGGTGCCATGGGCAAACCCAATGGGAAAAGTTTTCTTGCCTCTTCCGTATTTGGCAGCAGATGATCCAGATGGGCCAGTTCCATTGCTTTTTGACCATATACTTGCCATTGCTTCTTGTGCAAGGCAATCTTTTGGAAATGAAGGTTTTCTGTCCATCGGTTCATTCTACTGACTTGGCTTTATTTTGAAAGAATGATCTTTGACTTATCTTGTTAGTCCTTCCAGTGTCTGATGAAATATCTGACATAGAAGTGTTTATTACATTTGTGGAATCACCCAATTTTTGTGTTCTTGCATACTTGCCTAAGGTGTTTATTTTTTGTTAGTTCTTCTTAATTTTTCATTGGTAGTAAATTAATCTTAAATTATAATGATTATAGCATCTTTGTCTGTCAGGAAGTGCTTTGCTGACTTTCTAGCATTAATGATGGGCTAATGTTTGCTTATGTAATTCTTTTGATCTTTACAGGTGGAATGTTGACCATGACTGGTGATGTCCTTCCATGTTTTGATGCATCCATGTTGACACTTCCTGAGGACAGTTCTTGCATTGTCACTGTTCCAATTACCCTTGATGTTGCTTCAAACCATGGTGTAGTTGTTGCCGCTCAAACTGAAATTCCAGCTCAAAGCTATGCAGTCAGTTTGGTTGATAATCTCCTTCAGAAACCTACCATAGAGGAGCTAGCTAAAAGTAAAGCAATTCTAGGTGATGGTAGAACACTTCTTGATACTGGAATAATAGCAGTTAAAGGCAAGGCATGGTTGGAGCTTGTTACACTTGCATGTTCCTGTCCAGAGATGATTAAAGAGCTTCTGAAGAGCAAAAAGGAGGTATGCTGCCAGAGTTCAGTTTTAAATATGTACTTTTAATTGATTATTACTGATACATGAGGATCTCTTTTTTATGTTATAGTGTCATTCTTATGTTTTGCTAATCTATTGGCAGAAGTTATATTTAGTGAAACGCTATAAAGACTTTTTCACTGTATAAAGACTTGTGCGTGTGCACTTTTGTGCAGATGAGTTTATATGAAGACCTGGTTGCTGCATGGGTACCCGCAAAGCATGAGTGGTTGAGGAAGCGTCCCCTTGGAGAAGAATTAGTTGGCAAGTTGGGAAAGCAAAAGATGTTCAGCTATTGTGCCTGTATAACAAACCTCATCTGTTTAGTTCCTCCTTTCTATCTGTATATAATTCCTTTTTTTCACATTGTAATTGTCATATTTATCCACTGCAGATGACTTGTTGTTTTTGCATTTTGGGACCTCAAGTGAAGTCTTAGATCATCTAAGTGGGGTTAGTTCAGAACTTGTCGGTCACAGACACTTGTGTTCTATTCCAGCAACCACAGCATGTGACATTACAGCATCAGCTATTATTCTTTCTAGTAAAATTGCGCCTGGCATCTCAATTGGAGAAGATTCTCTGGTTTATGATTCATCCATTGCTGGTGGAATTCAAATTGGTTCCCTTTGTATTGTTGTTGGAGTCAATATCTCACTTGATGACTACACTAAAGTAGAAGATTCATTTAAATTTATGCTTCCAGATCGGCATTGTCTCTGGGAGGTTCCCCTGGTTGGAAGTGGTGAAAGAGTCCTGGTATATTGTGGCCTTCATGATAACCCCAAAAGTTTACTTTCTAGAGATGGTACTTTTTGTGGGAAACCTTGGAAGAAGGTTTTACAAGATTTAGGTATTAAAGAAAGTGATTTATGGACCTCCTCAAGAACTGAGGATAACTGTTTATGGAACTCAAAAATATTCCCTATACTTCCCTATCCTGAGATGCTCAAGGTTGCAATGTGGTTAATGGGTCTAGTTAACCAAAAAACTGAGCAAATGTTTTCTTTATGGAAATCATCCTGTCGCATCAGTCTGGAGGAATTGCATAGATCAATTGATTTCTCAAGGATGTGCACTGGTTCTAGTAATCACCAAGCTGATCTGGCTGCAGGAATTGCAAAAGCTTGCATTAGTTATGGAATGCTTGGCCGTAATTTGTCTCAATTATGTGATGAAGTTCTTCAAAAGGAGGAATCGGGCATCGAAATATGCAAGGATTTCCTAGCCATGTGTCCAAAGGTTCAGGAGCAGAACTTTAATGTGCTTCCCAAAAGCCGGGCTTACCAGGTTCAAGTTGATCTTCTTAGAGCTTGCAATGATGGAATGACAGCATGCAAGTTGGAGCACAACGTTTGGGCAGCGGTGGCTGATGAAACTGCTTCAGCTGTAAGATATGGATTTAAAGGTGCGGAGTACTTTTTCTTTCTTTCTTTCTTTCTTTGGTTTTTTTCCCCCTATGGTTTACATACAGAGCACATACTTTTATCTCGGCTAAAGATTTCATATTCACATAATGAATTGAAAAATAGTTTATACTTTGAAGTGAAGCATGCATTTTTGGTGGGGATATTTTGATACAATTGGATGATGAATACGCATTCTAAATTTTGACTTTTGAATGAATTCTCTATGCTTCCTCTATAGGATAAAAGCAGAGCAGAGAAAGCATACATGCATCAATTTAGGATTATATGTGGAAGTTTAGGCAAACTACTTTTAAATTGTGGGTCTTAATGAGTAATGGATTTTTAGTTTTATGGTATTGTGTTATTAAGGGGTAGACTTCTAAAAAAGGGTAGAGGAAGGCCAAAGGGACACTTTGTGAAGTTATTGAGTGGGATCTTTCAATTAACAATAAATCCAAAGATTTGGCCTTGGATAGAGCTCAATAGTATTGTGTGATTCATGTAGCCGACTCTACCTAGTAGGATAAGACTTGGTTGTTGTTGCTGGTTATGTGTTATTAAGCATTGCTAGTATGATTATAATTTATTGTTACCTTTGGCATCAAATATTGGAATGAAATATATAACAGGGTGGTTATTTTGAGAAGCCTTTATCATAACAAAGGCTTGAACAATCTAAACCTAAAATCTAATTATGTTTTGAGGTGAAACTAGTGAGGTGTTGACACTTAGATGATAACATTTAAGATTGCATTGTAATTGAATAATTATAATGGTTCAGGAAAAAGTTGGGGTTTTAGTGTCTGGAAAAAGTTAAACTATAATCGATTGCTGTCATTTCAGGTCACGTAATACTTGCACAAGTTTAATTACCAGTAGTAGAACTTGCTATAGGACAGCTTTTGTCAGCGGTGGCAACAAGATGATTTTTCTTCTCTAACAATGAATTGTGTTCCCATGCTGTTTCCCCTCTAAATTTTAGGCTTCATAGGAAAATATTTATTTTGTTACACAGTAATAATTGGTACTTCTATTCCCCATTCTCTGTTGTCTTTAGAACTTCTTGATCTCCAGATGTTCATAAGTTTATAAGCTTCTTTTACTGTAGAACATTTGTCAGAGTCTTCTGGCGCCATCTCCTGTCAGGAATACCAGAATAACAATCATGATGCCCGTAAGTTTTTCCATCCTAGAAGAGTACAAGTAGAGTTACCAGTTCGGGTAGACTTTGTTGGTGGTTGGAGTGATACCCCACCTTGGAGCATAGAGCGTGCTGGATGTGTCCTGAACATGGCAATAAGCTTGGAAGGTTCTCTTCCAATTGGCACTACCATAGAAACAACTGAAACAACAGGAGTATTAATTGCTGATGATGCTGAGAACCAGTTATATATTGAAGATTTTACATCTATTTCTGCACCATTCGACAAAGATGATTCATTTCGGCTAGTGAAATCTGCATTACTAGTAACTGGCATTGTTCATGATAAGATTCTTGCTGATATGGGCTTGCGAATCAAGACATGGGCCAATGTTCCCCGTGGTAGTGGATTGGGTACTTCAAGTATCTTAGCTGCTGCAGTTGTGAAAGGTCTTCTTCAGATAATTGATGGGGATGGGAGCACTGAGAATGTTGCTAGACTTGTTTTGGTGTTGGAGCAACTCATGGGGACTGGAGGCGGCTGGCAAGATCAAATTGGGGGTTTGTACCCGGGGATTAAGTGCACTTCAAGCTTTCCTGGAATTCCATTGAGGCTTCAAGTCATTCCCCTGTTAGCTTCACCTCAGTTGATTTCGGAGTTGCAGCAACGGCTGCTTGTAGTATTTACTGGTCAGGTAAGTATTAATTTATGGTACTGATCTGCATTTTATGTTTGTTACTTCATAAATATATCAAGAATTTTCTTTATAGATTCATATGGTAGGGTTATTTGTCTTCTTAAGCTTCGAAACAGCAAGTAACATGTTGGTCTTTAATTTATTATATTCTGTTTGGGTGAAGTTTCCAATTTTATTGTTTAGTAACTGTACAGTAGAAAATTAATATTTTGGTATAAGGAATAAATGAGAGGAAGGGAGTATGCAAAATAGGAAAAAAAAAAAGAAAAAGAAGAAGTAATAAATGTTCAGATAAACTAAAAAATCAAGCTTATATTTTAGATCAAACATTTTTCTAAAAATAAAACTTATGTATAAGACTAGAGGGAATAATGAATTGCATTGAAATAAATTCTTCCCGTGCATCGCACGGGGAGTCATTGCTAGTTATTGGTATAAGGAATTGTGCACGTACATTTTTGGATTGTATCAGATTTACCTACATGAAAGCATGAGAAACTGATTAGAAGGCATATACACATCTCATTTTTCCGAGCGATAGGAATCTGGATATAGGGTTGGCTCTACTTTTGTGTTCTTTCTGTGGATTACTGATAAGTAATGTCCAGAGATGAATGATATTCTAAAGAGCTTCGGATGTTTATACCCGCCCGGGAAAGTTTTTCCTTGTTATTTTTGCTGTTCTTGCGAAAGCTAATGCACAAAGCATAAGAGCAGACGTATGTTTGACTCCAAAAACAAAAACGAAAAAAAAAAGAAGAAGAAGAAATGGAAAGCTTAAGTTTGAAGTCCGAATTCCCGTGGAATTATTTTTCTTTGTAATTATTATTTTTTTTCAAAAAACTTTTTTTTCACTTGTTCCTCATCATTCTTTAGGTTCGACTTGCGAAGAAGGTGCTGCAAAACGTGGTAACTAGATATCTTCGTCGTGATAATCTTCTTGTGTCGAGCATCAAGCGCCTTGTTGAACTGGCAAAGATTGGGAGAGAAGCTTTAATGAACTGTGATGCAGATGAGCTTGGTGAGATAATGTTGGAAGCTTGGAGACTGCATCAAGAACTTGACCCATTTTGTAGCAATGAGTCAGTTGACAGGCTCTTCTCCTTTGCTGCTCCCTATTGCTGTGGGTACAAGCTGGTCGGAGCTGGTGGTGGGGGCTTTGCTCTCTTACTGGCCAAACATGCTGAGGCTGCCAAACAACTCAGGCACAGGCTCCAAACTGAGAAACAGTTTGATGTGAAAATCTATGACTGGAAAATTTTTCTGTGACACTTGGATCAGAATTTAGGGTTTATGTGATGATTATTTAGGCAGATTCTTATACTCTTCTTTGTATATTTAAGGGTCATTGATAAATATGTATTGATTACATTATCGGTGATATGTTCTTGCCAGATTCTGTAGTACTATTATGCATATGAAGTTCACTGTAAATAAAATTATATATTACCTTCTGTCTGGTCTTTAATATAAGAGCTAGTTGTAGATTTAAGTTAATTTTAAATATAGAACTTAAATTTACTTTGTTTCACATATTAATCTATTTGACCACTAAGTAATCATTGTGATGGTTAGACATGTTAAGAGGTTTCTATTAAAAGTAGTTTAAATGTACATGATATTTTGAGAGAGACCATCCATTTATTATAAATAATTAACTTAATTAATTTTTATATTAAAAATTAGATGTACTATTAAAGTATTCCATTCTTTGTCTATATCCTGTTAAATCTGGGTGCATCTCTTTTTCTTTGTTATTATAATCATGACCAAAAAAGGCGGTATTCCGGAAGTATGAAAAAATATAATTATTTGTCATAATTATGCTTTATTTTATGATAATGTCCTAAAGCAAAAATATTGAGTATTAGATGCGAATAGAAATCAGCTATTGGTGTCCAATAATACCCCATTTCTCATCGATATCATCATTAGCTAATTCAATGTGGCTTAGATTGGCAACAAACAGCGCCTTAACTTACACATGGAGCCTAATATCTATAACAATGGTGTGCGCGCGCGCGCGCGCGTTTCTTTATAAAAGTAGTAACGAAAATGACAAGGTTACCAGCTAAGAAGAAAATGGGTGAAAAAGAGGCACCTGTGAGAATCGCTTCTCAATGTGGCAAGGAATCCAAAGCTCCAAAGTGGATGGAAGCTTCATCCTTATGCCAAATTGGCTATGGGGCCCATCATATCTCCTTAGTACATATGACCTTAAACTTTGATGATACATTACCAAAAATATTTTTATTAAATTTGTCTCAAGGTGCCTTGAAAGATGGAGTCCACACAATATTTAATAAAGATAAGATTTTTTTTAAAAAAACATTGTCATTCTTTAAAAAAAAAAATAATGTTGCTAATTAATTTTGATTTCTTAACTCCATCTGCATTGAATAGGTCCTTTATCAAGGATAAGAAAGATTGTTCTTACCATTATCATCATTACTATTAAGGCAAATATTAAGTAAATAACTTCACTTGAAAAATAGTCATATTTATGACCTGTAAGTGCCTCTCCCTATTCTTCTGCTCTGAGGGTCAATTGGGGAAGAAAGAGCCGAAGGAAAATAAAAGGGTCAATGGGGCATCATCACCAATCAATATCATCGATTATCAATCAATCAATTGACATCATAAAAACCAAAACTTTAATACTTTAAAGCTTTATCATTCATTCATTTGGTCAGAGTTGTTTGTTTTACATGAGCATAGACATCCTATAAATCAAATAATTATTTTCGAGTTGCCATTAATTTCATACTATTTTCAGCCTTAAAATAATATTTTTTGTTGTGCAAATTAAACTACATGAATTGTATATGAGGACATTTCTTAATAAAAATTTAAACTTTAATTTGTCATTTCTTCCTATTAAATAAACCCAACACCGCAGATAGGTAAGAGTTGTTGATCATATTTTGTTAGCGAACCATTTATTTATTAATTTTTCGTCCTCCCATAGTTTGGTTTTCATGGGATAAAAAAATTCTTCAATTATGATGTACGTGGGCCCGATTTCAATTTCACAAAAAGTTTTAGACTTGATTCAAGGGGCATCGTCAAAGGCGCACTAGGAAGAAGGAAGAAAGCGGTGTTACGGTACAGACTACAGAGAGCGACAGACAGAGACCCGCAGGCAGCGATGGGTTTGCTCAGCCACAGAGTGGAGCGGAATGAGATCAAGCCAGGCGATCATATCTATACATACAGAGCTATCTTCACCTATTCTCATCATGGTCTCTTTCTCTCCCTTTTTCAGTGCTCGTGCTACTTTTATTTCTTTTTCCTTCTCAATGCAGATTTGCAGATTGTTTTTCGGAAGCTTTGCAATGTGGGTTTTCTGTTTGAAATCGACTTGGCAATTTGGGCTTTCTTCATCGTTATTCTGCTGGACTCTTCCTTTTGTCTATAATTTTCTTGGTTTTTCTTTTCATTTTCTTTGATTTATGTATATTTTGATAGCATTATGCAAAGTGGGTTCATGAAGTCCTAGTTGCTCAAGGATCCTCGCTTCCTGCGACGAGGAAAGTATTTGGTTTGTCTATTCAAATTTGGATTTCGTAATTCGCAAGAAAATTTGGTTCTTTTTAACTTGATTTGAGCTTGGATAGGTAGTCTTTTTAACTTAATTCGCAAGATAATTCGCTTCCGTGAGGCTTTAATTTCTCCTGTTTAGCTTGTTGTTCGCGTCGTTTGATTTTTGTTTCCAATTATTATTGCAGTTTGCTTAACTTTCACGTTTGTGCATTTGGGGTTTTCCCCCCTCTTCTTCTTTCAATCATTCAATGTATATCGTTGTCCTTGCTCTTATTGTCCAAAGTCGACGAAGTTCTTGAATTACCTGTGGCACAAAGTAACAAAGCAAATGGTGTAAAATGAATTATCTGTGGCAGTATATATTTGGGATTTTAAGGAATCAGTCCAATGCGTAACTTTTTTTAGACTCTAACTCAATCGATTTGGTTTTTCGTTTTATAGGTAGATTTACATAGTTGTCTTGCTCTGCCTGGTTAATTGTAGGTAGAATGTTGGGAAATAGTAAGTCATCATTCCAATCCCTCTTGCATTAGCTTACTACCATTGAAAAGGGACCTATTTGTTATGATGGAAAGAAGGTACTGTCCAGGGCTATTAAAGTAGCGCAAATGTGCTGAATCATCCTCACAATATACATACGTAAACATGATCCAATGAAGACAAAGTGCTTTGAATTGGGAGATATGTGGTGATCGAAGCATAAGCACAAGTTATTATTCTGTCATATTTCCATCTTCCTGTTTTTGAGCTTCCACCTCTGCTCCTTGGTTCTTTGAATTCAGGAAGTGGTTTCGTGGTCACAGTATCAGTCATTGAGATACTGTCTTCATACTTTGGGAGGACAGAATTGTATCCACAGTGCAAACTGCTTAGTGTTTGAAGAATGAAACTAGTGTCTAACTCTTAATTGTAACTAAATGACTAATAATTGGTTCAGGTGTTACTTGACGGTATCATAATTGTGTGCCTTCTGTTGTGATATTGTCTTCATTAGTGTCTTCACTCTTCACACTATTGGCAGGTTAAACATGTTCATCAGTGTGGGTTTTTTGTTTGATTAACATCTAAATTTTGCAGTTAAGTAATACCTTACTTTAGCAATGTATGTAGGAAAATCCTTAGATCATAAAGGCACAGATATAGCATGCGAAAAATTGTGAGGTAATTTGGATGTGAATCCGTGCATTTGTCATTGGGAAAGGTTCTAGCTACAAATCAAGTTCCTGGTTTTATACCTTTAATAATTTTGTCATGTTACCCTGCTGAAGAGTTTGTAGTACATATTTCTAGCTTATTTAGTTTGTATATCTGCAAAACTAAGGTGAGATCTTCTGTGGATTTGAAGCTCAAGATGATTTTCAATGTTATCTCTTTTGAGGAAACCTTATGCAGTAAAATGCTACTAGGCACTGTGCCAATTTTATAAATAATCCACTCATTACCCTGGTGCTAGGTTGGATTTTTCTTTCTTCGCATTTTACTTATATGATCAGATACAATGAATGGATTATTTACTGGTTTAAAGCAAGATAGCATTTTCTTGCTTCTGATCTAATCGCTAGTTTGCCTTGTGAGTAATTCTACATATTGCTGTGCATGTTTTGAAACTGTCATTCATTGATTCAATCTGGGCTTACGCAACCTTATACATTTGCTTTCCATAGCCTTAAAACTGACCTATGACTATCCTTACCACCCTATGAAGAATGCAAATATGTCAGGCATTTTTTGTTTGATTTCGGTTAGTTTTTAAGCCATTTCCTTCTGATCTGTGAACCCTATATCTGCCTTCTGCTTTTTCATCAGGATCTGATATTTGATTGCAAAATTTGCAAACTCAAGGTCATATCTCCGGACTTTGAGTCTAAATCATCTCTAAATCCATAATGAAATTTCATAATTCAGACCAAATTTGTTTCTGAATCACATTGACTCTGATACCTCGCAGGTATTTTTGTTGGTGGAAGCAAGGTGGTTCATTTTAGACCTGAGCGGAACTTAAAGTCAATCGCGGAGGCATCTTCCAACATGGATGATGATGATGATACCTCAAGCCCATGTCCAACCTTTCCCGACTGTGGATTCAGGCAGCCAAACAGCGGTGTAGTTCTCTCTTGTCTGGACTGCTTCCTTCGAAACGGATCCCTTTACTATTTTGAGTATGGCGTTTCTCCATCAGTTTTTATGGCCAAAATACGGGGTGGCACATGCACTACCGCACCATCTGATCCTCCGGAGAGTGTTATCCACAGAGCAATGTATCTTCTCCAAAACGGCTTTGGCAGTTATGATGTGTTTCAGAACAACTGTGAGGATTTTGCCATGTATTGCAAAACCGGTCTTCTGATAATGGACAAGCAAGGGGTGGGAAGAAGTGGTCAGGCTTCTTCCGTCATTGGAGCTCCTTTGGCTGCTGTACTTTCTTCCCCCCTCAATTTGTTGATGCCAAGTCCTGTTGGTGTGGCTACTGTAACAGCTGGAATGTATTGTATGAGCCGGTATGCCACTGATATCGGTGTTAGAAGCGATGTGATCAAGGTGGCAGTGGAGGACTTAGCTGTGAACCTGGGATGGACAAATTCTAATGAAGACATAGCTGAAAATGAAACTTCAAGCTGACAGACTGCCAGATGATCTTACTTTTTCCTTGTTCTGCTCAAGTGCACATGAAATTGCAGCAATGTGGTAACTGTTATGTATTCAATAGTAACTAGATATATTGCTTGCCTTCCTGTTCATTTTATTCTGGACAACTATCTTAGAAATTATTGTTGTCTAGTTATTATTCAGGTTGTGCATGGAATGAAGTACAGTTAATTTTGTGATTAATAAAGTAGCATTGGTCTTTTCCCCCCAAAAAGTTCTGTTTGTTTTTCTGGAAGGCTTGGGGGATCAAATTCAAGTTCTCTTGCAAATCATCTGAATTTCTTTCCACCTTTGTCCTTTTGACATCTGCACAACTTGATGAAGTGTGTTTTTTGGAAGGCTTGGAGCTTCAGTGCTGGCTTTTTATGACTTCATAGCACAATGCATTCATCCAAACCCCGAGAGTATTTTGTGATGCATCCAGCGCTTCCATATATTTTTAGGCGTTGGACGCACCTAAAAGAAAAAATATTTTATTGTGCTGAATATATCAAAAAATACTTTACAGACGCACCTAAAAAATTATTTCAGGATGTTGGATAGGTCACAAAATACTTTAGGGTGTTAGATGCATCTAAGAAAATACTTCATGGTGCTAAATGTATTTTAACCCTACATTATTTATCAATATAAATATAATTTTTGCCAACAAAAAAAATTAGTCTCATATCTTGTAACATCTTTTATTTTACTTTTGTCTTTTCTTTTCTTTTATATTACCGGTCCTTAATATAAGATCTTGTTTGATTTTTATTTTAGTTTTAAATATAAGACCCAAATCCACTTTGTCTCTCATATAGTCATATTTATGTTTTTTTTTCAAGCTAGTCCTCATAATAATGATAGTTCTAAATTCTAACCGATACACTTGATTAGCAAGGACATTTTAGGAAAGACAACACATATTTATTAGAAATAACTAATTTAATTTTTTTCTTTAATCTATTCAAATTAGTCAACTAGTTTTTATATTTAAGTTTTGAGGTAATATATTGTTTTAGGCAAGACTCTTTTTCGAAAAGCTGACATTCAAGGATCCTTTAAGAACATTACTGACAGTTAAAAATTTTCAAATAAAAAAAATCATGATCTTTGGACTTTGGTCGGGATTTTTTTTTTTGAGTTAAATTTTTTCACTACTCTCATCTTCCATGTTTCTAATACACATCTTCAATATTTTTAGTACTCAATTCAATTTTTTTCTCAATAATTACTTTACCTGGGATTTTTTTTTATAGTAATCAATGAATCAGAGGTAATATTAAAGATATGAAAGAAAAGTATTGTAAATATCTGAAACAACTACCAAAAAAAAATTAAAAATTGATTATAAAAAGCGCTGAAGATGGGCACTGATGATAAGGAAGATTACTGAAAAAGTTATCGCCGAAAATCAAGATTTTCTTTTTTAGAATTTCAAAATTCTAAGATTATTAATTGCCATGCGATGAATAATGTTAGCAGGCCGTTAAATGTCATTTTCCTTCTTTTTGCTTTAATACTGTCTGACAACTAAATAAGCGTGTTTAGAAGATCCAAGCCACCTCATTTCTGTTTCAAAAAGATCAAATCCAAGTGTTTTTTTTTTGTCGATCCAAATCCAGACTTGTTATCCAATAATAAAATTAAAGAACCAACCAATAGGGATTGGATGTAACAAAAAAGATTAGTCCCTCACATCATAACCAATTAAGATTCGAATTTCTATTGAAAAGGTGTTATTTAGTACCCGACAATACTTTGAATATGATTCTAGCAGAGATGCCTATGCTAATGCATTAGGAAAAAAAAGTCGAAGAACCGAAAACGGCGTCGTCTGCTTTTTCATTGAATGTTTATGTTACTGTCGAAGTGAAATTTGTTGTTCGAAGCGCAGCCTCAGATTTTTTTTTTTTTTTTTTTGCGTTTTCTTTTTCTTTTCTAGTTATCAACGTCATCATTAATGTCGCCGATTAATCAAATTTAGCCTTCAATCTCAGTCGGCTACCCCTTATTGATCGTTCTGATCAGGCATTGCCGAGCGAGGAGAGAGAAAACACAGCTGTTCCTAGGTTGCAGGTCTGAACCTCCGACACACCCACAATCGTCAGCACGCCAATCCGACACCATTTGAGCTTCTTATTGCCAAAATCTTGCCTTTTCGTGTTTTCAATCCATAGAGCCCTCGGTAAAATCTAGGTTCTGAAATTCAATGGCGAATCTTTATGTCAAGGCCGTGCCACCGGCCGATCTGAATAGAAACACCGAGTGGTTCACCTATCCGGGTGTCTGGACCACCTACATCCTTATCCTCTTCTTCTCATGGCTTCTTGTCCTCTCCATCTTTGGCTGCTCTCCTGGCATGGCTTGGACCATCGTTAATCTCGCCCACTTCGCGGTATGTTCGTTCTCTTTCTATTTTTTTTTAATCCTTGTTCGCTTACTTGCTTCCAGGTTTTGTAATTTTAGCGATTGAATGCGGTGGTTTATTGCTATTAAATCGATTAATACTTGCTTGGGTTTGGTTTGCGGGTCTATACTGTGGTAGTTTTACTTGATGATTCGAGATCATTTCTTGCTTCTTTCTGGCTATGAAGACTCCCAATTTAGCATCTTATACTTGATTTTCACAATTTTTCACGAGTCGTTAATGCTTTTTATGTGTTTTTGTTCTGCCATTTATATTTTTGAGGTTAAATGTGTCATTATTTTGATTTAGGGGTTACACTTTTACTTCGATTGTATTTTGGGCTCCAGCTAGGGACTCCTGATTGGTTATTGGTTCATATTAAAGGCCTTTGGAATTTACTGATGGTAATCATCTAGCTCCAAAAGTGAGGTTTAAATTGTGAGCTATTACTTTTGCTGATAAAAGATTGATCTCTCTGTTTGTGGTCGGAATTACGTCATTAGCTCTAAAAGAGGTACTGGGTCATTAGTGAAGTAGTTGCTAGTTGCTACATCTTGAAGCTTGGATGGTTAAAAGTCAGGATTCAATTTTTCAGTCATTCTTGACATAGATTTCCTTCAACAAACAGATTAGATATGACTCTGTGCGATGATGATAACTAGGTCATTGACTTGTCTTGTTGATGCATAATTACAATCTGAGGATAGAAGAAGCAACCTTTTCTAACAATTTCCTTTGGGATTTCTATTTCTTAGTTTACCTCTATTGTTAATAAAGACATCCATCTTCATTATCGTCTTTTCATTTTTTAATTCTTCTCTTGGATCACTATTGCTAGTGAGCAATAAAAGGATTTTTATCCCATGAAGTTAGGATTTGTCTGAACCAACAGAGCGAGGAGAAAACATCTAAACCGTTGGTGGAGATAGTGTGGAACACAATTTTTTTGTTTTTTCAAATAATGTGATGAACTGGTATTCTGTACTTGAAGACTAAAAATTATTACGTAACATGCTTTTAAGTCATTTTCCAAATTATTCTTGTATATCCACATAAATTTGTATCTGTTTATTTTCCTTTTTACATCAATTCTTCTCCTCTTCAGTAAAAGAAGGAATCTTTTAGGGGGCATATGGGATAGAGAACTATTAAAACATTATGACACTCATAATAACAAGTTAACAATAAAGCTATATTTGAAGGATCCTGTAAAGGATAAGAAATTGATAGTAGACAGTGAGTGGCTTCTTATAAACAAATGAAAATCGCTCTATGAAGATATGATGAGGATAAAGAAATGAGGAACATATGATTTTGCTATCTTTTATCTCCTTTTTTCTTGTTAAATCAATATTTTGTCTTACCAGCCCGATGGTCTTATTGGAGCTTGTCCCCTTGCTGGTACAGATTTGTGGAAAAGTTTTGTATTTTGATTTCACATTTCACGGTCGTTCTTTTAACATGGCATGCCATATAGAATATAATACAAATTCTAAGATGATATGGCCCTAACATGTCATGTGACATCCTTTAATTCGTAACTTTGACTTGAGACTTGTAACAAAGTTCCTTTTTGGTTGTTTTTGGTTGCTGTGTCACACTCAAACTGGGGATTCATACACCTAATGAGTCCATGGGCAAGATAACAATTTTTCATCCTTTAAAATTGCATGACTGGTTTAAGTTATATAATTTTTCACATATGAAATATGACCTCTCTTAATGTTTTGCTTATGTTATTTCCATCAGATAACATATCACTTTTTCCACTGGAAGAAAGGAACCCCTTTTGCGGAAGATCAGGGAATATACAATGGATTGACATGGTGGGAGCAGGTAGATAATGGAAAGCAGCTCACTCGTAACAGGAAATTTCTTACAGTTGTCCCTGTGGTGCTGTAAGTTTTTCTCTGTTTTAGCCAAAACGGGTTACATTGGACATTGAATATATTTGGATCAGTATGTGAGTAGGAGCTTTTATATGCAGCCCTCTTCCACAACTCTTAACAGATATGCATTCATAACTTTGGTCTTGAGAATTTCTTGTGGTGGGGAACCTACAGTTAATTTGATAATGTTTATATTAAAGTGTTAATATAAGAAGTCATGACATATTCATTGTAATGGGATTTTACAATATTATACATATAACTTAAAGCATTATCTTCTTTTTAGTTATTTGGCACTTTACATGTTAAAAACAAAATTAACATCTAAAAGGCCATGCGATAGCTTAAGCCAGGAGTGTGGGGGTAGGGGTCTTGAAGATGAAGACATATAATATCACATGGCAATCACATTGGTTTTGACATGACATTTAATTGGTAGCTTAGGGGTTTTATGCAAAGATTCCCCTGATAATTAATGGCCGTAGCATTAGTGCTGTTTTGACTTGTAGACCATGTCTATATAGCGCCTTTTTTGAGGCAGAACAACTATATGAAGCGATGTAATATGAGAAAGGGATGGCAAAGTTTTATGTAATATAGGACATTTTCCATGTTATGGCATTGGTGATTGGGTATTTGAAATTGTGTCATAATAATACCTGGAAAATCTATATTAAAGAAATCAATCATTAATTTGGTTGTCTATAATCGTCTCATTGTTCCAATTATCAAAGTTTGATCCTAGTGATGGCTTATGGCCTTGCTAAAGGGTACACTTCTATGTTTGCTATGGTAGAATTCGTGTCAACCTCATCTTTGCAAATATATGTACATATAACTCTTCCGTCTGAATTGCTTTTTAATGTTGCCTATGAAATGGAATGTAAGATGTGCAAGTGTTCTGTGGCTTTGTGCTTTTCTAGTTGGATGGTGGTATGTGTATGTAGTTCATGTATTCCAAAAGGTAACTTGCATTCTTGAGTGGTGTTAACTCACATTAGGAGGATTTCTTCTTTCATTTTTTCTTGCAGTTTGACTTGATCTGTTACCTTTTATTTCTTGTTAAACCTATGTATTCAAAGGCTCCTCAATTTTGTGTTATGTGGCTTCCTCTTTTGTCATGTACTATATCACTCTTTAGCTTGGGACCTGAGTATGGTTTTGAAGTGTAACATGGTAGATGGAAGTAAACGTGTCTTGATGAACACATTCACATGATGCAATTACAACTTCTTGTCTGTCCAAGCAATATTATCGCACCCCAGTAAGTGTCTCTAATATTTAAATGTTTCCTTCTTGAGGAAGGAGCATTTCTAGAGAGCATAGTTTTAAAAAAATTTCCGAGGTGAAGCAGTTGATTTGTTGACGCATGGCAACTTGATCTGGAAGGTGTGGATTTTAAAGATGGTAGATGATATTAACCGCTAGAGTTATCTTGCTGCACTGAACATTTTGTCCATTGAAGTTAAAGCTCCAGGATAGTTGATTCTGGACTAGTTCTGTCTATATTGGGTGTAGACCCAAATAAAAAAGGATAGACTGTTTGAGTGGAGTTCACTAGATCTGAGCATGATTGCTTATTGAAAATTACTTAATGATTCCATTATAGCGTGGTAGTCAATTGAATATGAGAGACCAGGGTAGAATGGAATGTCTAAGTTCCACATTGAGCGGTAGTCTGGGATATACTTTAAGGGCATTTAAGGTTGGATCTCTCATGATTCCATCAAAATCCTTCATCGATTGAGTAGTGCCCTCTAACATTAACTGGAAAGTGATGCTTGATTTGGCCGAAACGACTTAGCATATCTTTTTATATTACTGTTTTCTTGTTCTTGAGAAGGGTCTTTCTTTAAAATTAGATATTCACCCTTATTACTATGTTGTCAGGTACTTGATAGCCTCACACACGACTGACTATCAACACCCAATGCTCTTCTTCAACACCCTTGCAGTGATCGTGCTAGTTGTTGCCAAGTTCCCCAACATGCACAAGGTTCGAATCTTTGGAATTAATGCCGATATGTGACAACACTGTTTAAGTCAAAGGGACTTGGTTTACCTACTGTGAGCCTCCATGATCCTTCACTTGTTCTGGAAAAAAGTTGTATCTTTGTATAGAAGTCAGAACTGGAAGGATACTCAACTATGTGATGCTTTGTGCCCACTGCTTTTTCAGGCTGCTTCTCTGATTATAAAAATAATAAATATCTCGAGTTGTTATTGTACAGTAATGTGTCTGAGGTTATAACGTTCCTTTAGTGCTTATAACTGACTTGAAAGTTGAAAATCTACCTTTCTTTTGCTTTCAATCCGTTTGACATTTGCAGCCTTAGAACTGGAATATGAGTCTGTGCGGAACTCCATATTGTTCCTTTCCTCACATCAGTGGAATAGATCATTGGTGAGATCAGGAGTATCTTCTACAACAGCAAAGATTAATCTCCTTGCTGAAACATCTTATGTATCATGCAATGTCGTTATACACGAAAGGAGGCGTTTTCTTCAAAGAAGATGATGATGATTCGTACTCACATAAGAGAAATTAATTGCTATATGAGATTCCGATATGTGACTACTCCCTAGTTGTGGCTTAGGGAAAGGATGGACCACTCTTCATTCATTGAAGGACAGAGGAAAAAGCTTTAGCAATACGGAGTGAGTAGTGTGGAATGGCCCCTCAAAAAAAGAGAATTATATATGAGGTTAAGGGAATAATACTTTTTCAGTAAATTATGTTTCTAAACGCATTAATTGTGGGCCTGGTTATCTCATGAAAAGTAACTGAAGAAAATGGAAATAAGTCTGAGGCGCAAGAAGAAAGTCAGTCTCCATTTCCGATTTTAAAAGCAGGGAAATAAAAAGAAATGAAAATTGGAAGAAGAAAAAAGTGTCCCATTAAAAATTTTAGTGGTGAGAAGGACTTGAAAATTTTTTACACAAAAATTATCAACTTTTTTTATGGCAACACAGAAAGTACCGATGCTCTGAATTTTATACGCACAAAGCATTAATTTAAATCTTCTTACGGATAAATTTTTAATGGAAGAATTTTTTTTCAAATAAAAAAGGAAGGAGTCTCCAAATTGAAGTCATTCGATTCAAAGGAAAAAAAAGCACAAAACATGAACATGATATATTATTTAGTGACTGAGCCAGATGCAGCAAATAATTTCCTCTCTGCCCGATGGAATGTTTGGGGTCCCCACTTGAATGCCAAAGTTAAAAGAAGGAGGACACACATTATAAAGGAAAAATTCCTTCAGAGAGCCTAAATTCAACAAAAACTTGTGTTAAAATTTTCCAAGAACAAAATCACAATAGGTTTCACATAACTTTCTTAACAGCCAATGATACAAGATCTTAAAATAAATCTCTATAACTTGATGATAATATTTGCTTCTACAAAATGACCACATTACAATTTATACTACATTCCATTCTAAACATAGGAAATATGTAAGTAGTTTACTTTATTCCTAAATATAAGACTTCTCAATTCATTTTGTCTAATTTTTTTTTCAAACTATACATATTGATTACATATATTGAGAAAATTTTCATCAAGGTATAGTTATAATGCAAATGATGAGAAAGAATATTTTTTAAAAAATTAATATATATTTATTATAAATAATTAATTTTTTTAATATAGATAAATTAATTATCTATCTTTTATATTAAGAAACGGAGGGAGTAACAGTTTCTTAATGTAATTTTTGTGAAGCTTAGATGCTTGGATGTAATTATCTCGATAGTGTAGTTTTCTACGTATATTTCAAAGGCAGGTAGATGAATGACATGGGAAGTAATGATGATTGAAGGAATGAAGGATAATGTTGTATAGAGAGATGAGATAGGATAGAAGAATATTATAATTTATAATTATAATTATAATATTTAAAACGCGAAAGTGGGTGACAAATGCTTTAGGTTAAACGTTTGGTTGGGGCAGGTAATCCAGTTTTCAAGGTTTGCACGATTTGCTATTAATAACGCTCTTCATTCTCTCCTCTCTTCTCATCCTAATCCATGTTTTTCTTCTCTTTCTTTCTTTAAATTATTCTAAACATTACTTGTTCAATTTCATGATTTATATTATTAAAAAAATGTCATAATTTAGTTTTGTTATGAAATCCCGTACACTTTTTTAATATCAGATATTTCCTGTTGATTAGAATTCGAGTCAAAATCTATCCCCACATGGTTGAATTTTGGATTGTGCACAAGTAATATATAATTTTTAACATGCTTCCTCTTTGTACAAAACTTAGGTTTGATTGTACCTCACGCAAAAACTTAACATCAAGACTCGTTTAACCAAAAAATTAAACTTAAATAATGATTGTTTATGAATAATTTTAATATAATTTGTAACAATTAAAATTAAGGCTTTACTTTGGCATTTGTTGAAAAAACAATAAATTCTCTTTCTATGAGAATTCCTATAAGGCTTCCCTCTTAATTTGATGGTTTTTCCAAACCTTTAGTTTAGTTTTCAAACTGTATTTTCTTAATGAAATCAGTTTGATTCATTTTTTAAAAACATGAAAATTGTTGGAGGTCTTAAAAAAATAAAATCTTCCTTCATCAACAAGGTATGATTTTCTTTTAGTATAATAGATGCGTTTAATATATGTAAATAATTATAATGCAAGCTTGCATTAAGTCACCACCAGAATTGGGTGTATCATTCCTTATAGCTAAAAGATGAAGATCATAGGACACTTCTTTGTTTCTCCTTTTCCAGTTCTTTTATTTTCTTGTGATATAATTATTTTTATTATAATGCTATATTCTTTCCAATATTGCCATCAAGTGCTTTCATAGTTGGAAGAATCTCCTACGTCATAATTTTGATTTCAAAGGCTGACAACCCACTAATGTTTGCACTCACAAAAATAGACCAAGTGGGCGTAGAGAAAAAGGCATAAAGTATTATCCCATTTGAATAATAAGATTAAATCTTTCATAATTATTTAATTAATTTTAAAAAAAAGTGGTGTGAAAGAGTGTTCTTTGTGGCATCGGATTCACTTAATTATTCCTTTATTTCTTTTTGAATGTACTATATGCAGCTATTCTTATAAATAGAAAAGAATCCGAATTAGTACTGCAAATCTCAAGTTGATAAGTCTTGGCCGGTCATACAATATTAAGAATTAATATCTGATTTTTAGATTTCCCCAGTGACCAAAACAAAATAAAAAGGTCACTAATTTGGACCAAGTATTAGCAAAAAGCACGCCATTAAATAAAGTTGTTCATCTCTACAATTATGATCATCAGTACTGAAGAATTCATGAATACAGGTGAATATGGCATATAAAAGCCCTAGACAAAAAGAGGCCCTATATTCATCTTTTCTTCTATCTCTAATCATCATCATAAAATTACACCCCAAGAGAGATCGATCACAAGCTAAGAGCTGTAGTAATTAAATATATCCTCTCACATTGCATAAAGGTAGTGTTTGAAAATTTAAAAGAAAAAAAAAGTAGCCAAATGTATCCTATTGGTTCTGTTAGTTCCGATGAGCAACTCCAAACAAAGAGAGCGATGTAGAAAATGAAAACAAAGAAGAAAAATGCAGCCTCTTCTTCTCCCTTCTCCTCTCATTTCTTCTGATAAAACTTAGGCCATTATCTTGGTATTTATATCGTCAGCAGATTCTGTAATAAAGACATGGCATGTTTTTCCCGACAGATTATTATTCAGCTTGTCATGTTTAAATTAAAGAGGCTGATGAGAACAATCACCAAAGAAACTATGTTCCAAGTTCTGTTTTCTGATCTCTTGTTCTTCGTAATTACCAGGATCCTTCACCAATCATACCAGTCCAATACCCAGAAGATGAATTCCCACCAGCGTGTTCTTTATTTTCTTCCACTTCATGAGCTCCTGGAATCGGCTTGACATCTCCAAAAGGAAACAATAATCTGCCTCCAGTGCTAGCATTCATATTATTCTCTTGAACACCATATCTGCTTCGAAGTCCTTGATGATCATCCACTGAAAATCCAAGGCTTGGCTTAACCTCATGCATGGGACTAAACCCAGAAGGGAAAAGCGCATTATTATTAGAGTTTGGCATCAATATCGGATTATGAGCGAAAGGGTGATTATTCAAACCCCTAGAAGCCATGCCTGCTCTTAGTAGCTCCAAAGCAGAAGTAGAAGAAGAAGAAGTTGTTGAAGAAGAAGAAGAAGAGCTTTGATAACTAAGGCCATGATGGTGGTGGTGGTGGTGGTGGTGGTCATAATTCTCCATGACAGGTGGGAAAGACAGATTAAGATCCCGGCCTCCTTGCATTAATATTTTAGGATTCTGAGAAGAAGTAGAAGAAGAAGAAGGAACAACAGTAGTTGTTGGTGGATTCAAGTCAGGAAGAACCTTTGATGATGAAGATGAAGGATTATTAGTAATGAGCTTCTTGTTCTTTCTGGAACCTCCTCCAACAGGGACATTTCTGAGGGACCCACCCTCAGTCCAATACCTTCTGCAAGTTTTGCAGAAGTATCTGGGTTGTGTGAGGCTATAGTTGTTGTAGTAGCAGAACTTGGTGTTTGTAGAATTGCACCTTGGACAATTCAGTTGTTCTTGTGGTCTTACCTTCTTCTCTAACCCTACTTCTTTTGCGCATGAATTATTATTGTTTGGTTCTATATTCCTTTCCATCTCCTTGCTCCCTTGCTTTCACACCTCAAACCAATATTTTTCCTCCTGAAAAATTCAAAAGAGAAAAAAAAAACCAAAAAAGAAGAGAGGATGGCGAAAATTAAAAAAAGAAACAAAAGCTATGATTATACATATATGACAAGAATTAACGACAGTCGATACATATGTGACAGATTTAAGAACTGCTATTACAGTTTCATGGTGAGGTCATAGTATAGAAGACTGAGAAGATAGTCGATCGAAAATGCAAATTAAAAAAGATATTTATACTATCATGTTGTGGAAGGAATTAGATCAATAGAATAACAAATTTTTGAGAACCTTATTTTCTCTTTATCTGATGGGCGAAAAGGTGATTAAAGAGGAGGAAAAGAAAAGGCAGTGCCTTTGTATTTGGGTTGGGACCAGATTGAAGATATGGAAACTAGAAAATATCAAAGATACAAGAGGATCTCTAAAACTTAGCGGAAACCGATTTTATGTTCTCTTTTGTGTCAGCTTTTGAACAAACCCTAGAATCTAGAATAAACATATATAGCTCAGAAGAACTGGTAGTGCATAGAAGGAAAAGACCTGAAAAATTAAAATCCACCCACCTGTGGCTGTACTGAGCAACTCATAGATATGAATTCAGAGCAGAAAAGGAAGAGAAAAGCAAAGGGATGACTTCACACACAGAGAGAGAGAGAGAGAGTTCACCTGTTTGTCTGAAGCTCAGCTTTGTGGCAAGAAAGAATGTTTTAGTTCGTTTGTGGGCTGGCTTTATGTGTTGGCTTTACTTTATGAATGATGCTATGGAAAAGAGAGAAAAAGAGGAAGAGAAAGAGAAAGCGAAGAAATGTGTTCGTTTTGACTATACTTGCAATAATGCCTCTTTATTAATCGCTGTTTCAGTCCTTAAGCTTTATTGCTTTATTTATTTCTATGTGGGCTGCTCTTTACTGTCTTTTCTGTTTTTAATTAATTAAATGCAATTCTCTTACTAGGTCTCCTTTTCTTTTCTTTTTATTAATAATTTATTAGTGGTGGAATAATGAGTGTGTACTGGGGCTGTGTTCAATCGTCAAACTATCTTTTTCTATGATCTATCAATTAAAGCACCATTCACGAGCAGTGAAAATAAAACATGAGGCTCATTAAACAGAAGCATTGGATTTGATTGCTTCATACTTTACTTCCATTCTCAAAAGCCCTTCTCGGATCTCTATTGTAATGTCCTTGCTTCTCTAATAATCTTATTTATAAACTACTTTAAACATATTTTTTCATATTATCTTAATGTTATTTCATAATTTTTCAATATTATTTAATACATATTTTAATGACTGGTTTTCATGAATAATTAATTATATGAAGGATACAATTATATTGTATTCATATAAAAGAAATTGACGTAACCTATAAATATGACAAAAAACACACTCTTTTTAATTAGTTATAATAAGACTAGAAGAATGGATTTACCAGTTAAATCCCGTCTAGGGTTTGCTTACAACGTAATCAAGCACATTCATTTCACTACCTATGGGTTTTATTTTTTCCAAACATGGATCCATCATCTCTAATCAAAAAGTTCATGAGAAAAAACTGTGAATCACATTTAACAGGTAAGGCCAACCTAAATTTTCATGTGGAGAATCCGTCAAATGCTTCGATGGTGACCAACAAGATTGCTTGGGAGACCTGGCAAGCACCAGAAAGCTTTAGGTGAAACCTACTTTTAATTGCTCAATTATATATTTACAATTAGCCACCAAGGTGGCCATATGAATAATCAGTGAATTAATTAAATTATATTGGATTATGAGGAATAGTGTTGGGAATGATCATGTTGAAGATTTTTTATTCGATTTTCATAATGAACGTATGGGATATGATGAGGAGCAAGCATTCCTTGAAGAACATGCCTTTTCCTAAGAAAGCTTCTTTAAGTGTATATGCACCCTAAAATCAGCTACAACGTTGCTTTATGTGCCATAATGATGTCCGTATTCCCAATCCCTAGAAATTAAATTATTACAAAGCGTGAATTCGAAATATAAATATATGTATTCCAGAGGAAGTGGGAGAGAAGGGCGAGAAAGATTGAAGCAAATATTAGTTGCCGACAAGAAACGACAAAAGTAATTGAGGTGGGGTCCTAATATAATGGGTTAGGGGATGGAAGAAAAAGAAAGAAACAAACAAGAGCTATTTCTAAATAAAACACTTATTACCTCTGATCTTTAATATAAAATCTTATTTGATTTTTATTTTGATCTTAAATATAAAATCCCAATCTATTTTATTTTCCATATTTATATATTTTTTCTCAAGGTAGTCCTTTTAATAATGGTAGTTCTAACTAATACACTTGATTAGCAAGAATATTTTAGGAAAGACAACACTTATTTATTACAAATAACTAACTTAACTTATTTCCTTAATCTCTTCAAATTAGTCAACTAGCTCTTATAATTAGGACCGGATGAAGTATTTGAATTTTGATTCAATGGTTTTATATTATTTCTAGAAGCAGAAGGTTGTGAGTTTAAACCAGCTAAATATAACTATACATCTATATGTTTTTACAAATGATAAGCAATACAAAAAAATTAGTATGGGGTGAATGTGACCATACTAAAAAAATCTCAACAATGAGTTGCATGTATCTGTTGTTATTTTTTATTTCAAAAATTATCATTACTCCATGTATTACCTGCTTGTTGTGAAATTTTCGGTGATTACAGTCTTTTTTTTTTTAAAACATCATAGTAATTCTCTGAAAACAATACTCCAATTTATATGGAGTATTATGAAAAACCCTATTTTGAAGAAAAACAGAAGATGAAAATTGTGGGGAAGGAAGGTGAGGAAGAAAGAGCGCGGGGTGTCTTGTAGTGTTTGGATTTATGGGGTTATTGGGAGGGTGGGGATGTGAAAAGAACATCAACCAATGACACTCAGAATCTCAGTGACGCTCTGATTTAGATATCGTTGGCTCTTCGCCTTTTAATTAACCTCAATTCTCTTTTAGAAGATACTACCTCCATTCCTTATTATAAAATTAAATCGGCAGTACTCTTGTATAAAGGCTACTTTGTTTTGACAAATTAATTCGATCCTTGTAATTTCTTAAGTCAAAACAAAGTAGCCTTTATAAAATTTTTATTCGAAATAGCTAACACGATTCCCATCATTCTTTAACTCAACAAACTCTATACAAGAATTAAGTTGCTGTGAATCAAAATTAAAAAATTAAAAAAAAATTGAGAAAAAAGGCGGAGACTAAATGTTAATTTTTTCTAACTTAACAAGTATTCGAGTTAAAAAAAGTTAAATATTTGATAGTTGGGTCAAATAATGTAATACTCCTTAACTAAAAGTGTAGGGTCGATACTCGAGAATAAAAAAATTAGTTTGATAGTTATCTTCACTTAAATTCAGTAATTTTTTAATATAATTTAATAATGATGGATTTAAGTAGTTTATAAAATATTATTTAATCTTTATGACTTTTTTTCTTGTTCTTTTAATGTGGGAGAGGACAAGGATGAGAAACTAGAAGATTCATGGTTCTTTTTTTTGGGGAGCAAAAGTCAATTTTATTTAAACAAAATAAAACAATTACAAAGAAAAAACCAACCAGTCACATGCGGTTAATTTGAACAGAGCCCAAAGAAAACAAGAAAAAAAGACTGAAATATCCAAAACAATAAAAGACAACTAGTAAACCCAAAAGACGGTCGGTATCTTGAGGACCCATCAAAACTTGGATCTCATCTCAAACCAGTAGCAACCCTACCAAGCTAGTAGACATTGCTTGAAGTACCACAGCTAGTGCTAACAAACGTTAGTCCAATTTCAAGTGGAAGGGACTTAGGTTCAATTTTTGGGACAGTATGTATAGAACAAACACTGTTGAGAGATATTTCCGCTACGGCACCTAACAAACAGTATGGTAATATCCGGAGAGATTAGTCTCTTACCATTTGGATGAGAGGATACTCAGAGCAAAAAAAAAAAAAAACCAAAGCCAGACCTTGTTTAATGTGGGAGAGGACAAGTCTGGGAAACTATAATATTCATGCCGTTTTTTTTTTAAAATATTTATGCTGTTTGGACACATGAGATAAAGAGGAAGAAAATATATACAAAATTATAGGCTAGAAATAAAACCGAAATGAAAGGGAACATATATCTAAAAAGAAAAGTACCGTGAAACTTGCTTTGTTCTATTGTCGTCCCTGTAATTAAGATTGTTTTTTCTTGCATCTTGGAAGCTTGAAACTCAGTTTATATTAGTTTAATCTCGTGTCAAACTAAATCATTAGTCGGGAAATTACTGCGAGCGTGATTGCAGAAGCAATCATTACCTTATTCGGTCATTAATTTTATGATAGAACGAAGAAAATGCCATGCATAATTTTTATGCCTTAATTTAATCGGGATTTTTCTTCAATTATTTCATAACTTTCAAATGTATAAAAAGTTCAAATCTTCCATATAAAAAGTCGGGAAATATCGACAGAGATTACCCGTTGGGGCTAGACAGAGAATATATATACATACAAGGAGGCAAGTGTAAAAAGTTCAAATCTTACATATAATTTGGTTCTTTTCAGGTGGCAAGCTAGATAAGCTTCTGTAATCATGTACACATCGGAGATTCTAATTATTTCACTATTAACCTTTTTATGTATTTGATATTTGTAGCTAATTAGAGTGACACGCACATTTATTGTACTGTAGGACCTTAATAATACTTACTTATTGTAAGTGGAGGTTAATTAATTAATATTACTACTTATAAAATTAAATATTCGAAGTAGGAAAAAATTAAAGAAGCATAACGGCACTACCTTTGTACAACTATGTATTTGTTCTTGGCCAACATATTCATGTTCTTATATTGAAGATATTTTGTGGTAACTTAACTAATCATCATTTGAGTGAAGGTTTAACTGGGGATTTAATTTATTGAATGTTCAGTTTCGTACGAGGAAGAAAATTTTAAGGTGCTTGATTTCAAAAATTAAAAAAAAAAGATTAAAAGCTTTCAATTAATTTTTATTACTATTTTATCTTATATCTTTTCTTTATTAAAATTTTAAAATTCTACTTCTCTAATTTTTTAAAATAAGTTCGTTAAAATTTTTCCTCTATCTCCCTCTTATCAAAAGAAGTGTAAAATAAATGGTCTTTCCAAAAGTTATGTATTATACAATTATATAGATTAATTTTAATTATTTTTGTCGTTGCAACTTTTCGAATGTTTTGTTTTGTTAAGTGAACAGATGCTGATAATAATACTCCTCTAGTTCTTAATATAAGATTTAATTATTGAGTTGATTTTGGTTCTAAATATAATATCTATTTTTCATATTTATTAATTTTTCTTAAATTACCCTTATGGATACTTCCTCAACCATAATCAAGTAGAAGAGGGAGAAAGAAATTAAGGAAGATAATTATGGTGTTTTAGAAAAAAAATATGTCATATTTTTTATAATTAACTAACTTAGTAACTTTTTTAATCTAATTAAATTAGTTAAATATATCTTATATTAAGAACCGAAGGGGTACTAAGAAATTAAATTCGGAAAAAAAAAATTGCAGAGCTCTTCTGTTTGAAGATGCGGAGGAGATTGAATTGAAAGGCGTGATTTCTTCAGGATTTGGGCCTCACTAACTTTAGGCCTACTAAGAATAGGCCCATTCAAACTTGTCAAAATTATCATTACCATTGGCCCGAAGAAATTACCATGACCTATATCGATAATTATTTGCTTGAAAAGAAAATTATAAACACACACATTTTTCATTTTTCTAGAATATTCCA